TTTTCGGTGTATAGACAGTCTGCCTGTCGGTGTATACACTGGAAGTTCTTAGCTTAGGTACTACTCCCTGCATAATAGCAGAGTAGATAGACATAGTCTCCCTCCTCCCTCCTGTTTCGGTGTATAGACATAGTCTGCCTGTCGGTGTATAGACATGAAGTTCTTAGCCTAGGTACTTCTCCCTGCATAGTAGCAGAGTAGATCGACATAGACATGAAGTTCTTAGCCTAGGTACTTCTCCCTGCCGGTCACCGCATAGGCATGAAGTTCTTAGCCTACGTGTAGGTACTACTCCCTGCATACAGTAGAGTAGATACTAGATACACATGGCCTCCCTTTTCGGTGTATAGACATAGCCTGCCTTTTCGGTGTACAGACATATACCTGCCGGTCCGTATATAGACATGAAGTTCTTGGCCTAAATATGTTGGTAAGATAGCGAGAAGTATGTTACGTAGCTAGTGCGAAGTGGGAAGCAAAAAAAAAAAACAAAAAAAAAAAAACAATGAACTCCAATCAATAAATGAATCCATCAACTTGAATAAAGAGCCAAACTGCCACGGCCTCAGTCAAACAGAAACTCACCAATCACTCAAAAAATCTTAGTATGCTTTCACACTAACGTCTTGACCCGAATAGAACGCCATGTCATTATGGCGGTATCTAGTCCGAAAGTTGCACCAAATACGGCTATGATGACCGGGCGTAATATAATTAATTAATACGAACCTTGGGGACTGAATTTCGCCATAGTTACACTGTATGTACATCCTCGACAATGTCTTAGTCCCCAGTGTGGACTTAGCCATTTTCCATTTTCATGCTACGTAGCATGCATGCATGCACATTCACGCATTGCCAATCGATTTGCCCGATTTAGCAACACCTTTTTCTTTTTTTCTTTTTTCTTTCCTCGTTCATTTCGTTCATCTGCTTTTAATGGAGTTCGAACTTGGGTCTGTCTGTACTTCAACAGTTCAGGGGCCAACCCGGCCAAGTCCCCCTTACGCTGATTCTTCATTTCCATTTTCATGCTACGTAGCATGCA